TCCTCTGGACATGTCCAAGCCACTGTCCTTCCTCTGGACATGTCCAAACCACTGTCCCTCCTCTGGACATGTCCAAACCACTGTCCCTCCTCTGGACATGTCCAAACCACTGTCCCTCCTCTAGACATCCACTGTCCCTCCTCTAGACATGTCCAAGCCACTGTCCTTCCTCTGGACATGTCCAAACCATTGTCCCTCCTCTGGACATGTCCAAACCATCTCAGTCTGGTCTCTCTAACTTTATCTCCCAGTTGTTCAACCTGTGCTGTACCTCTGATGATCTCATTCCTAATCTTATCCATCCTTGTCACTCCTAAGGAGAACCTCAACATCTTCATTTCTGCCACTTCCAGTTCTTTCTCTTGTCTTTTTGTCCATGTCTCTGTCTCCAGACCATACAACATAGCTGCTCTCACCACTGTCTTGTAAACTTTTCCTTTGACCTTTGCTGACACCTTTTGTCACAAATCACACCAGAAACTTTTCTCCATCCACTCCATCCTGCCTGGACTCTCTTCTTCACCTCTTTACCACACTCCCCTTTTCCTGGACAGTGGACTCCAAGTACTTGAAGTCCTGCACCTTTATGTCCTCTGCTCCTTGTAGCCTCACTGTTCCACCTCCTCCCTCTCATTCACACACGTACTCTGTCTTACTACGACTGACTTTCATTCTTCTTCTTTCAAGTGCATACCTCCACCTCTCCAAGTTCTCCAACACACATATTGTTCTAAAAAAAATAATTAAAAAAAGCACCTGCATGAGTCACAATCTACAATCTTGTTTGTAACAAGACCATGGCTGCACTTTGGCCTAAAAGACTTCCTCTTTACTTGTGTTTTATGTTTTTATGAGCATCTTGTTATTGCTGCAGCATTCCCACGGTGATGGTTTCAGTAAATCTAATTCATACGTCTATAAAAGCCACTCACGGGGCTGTTATTATCAATGTCAGTGCAGTGAAGCATATTGTTACAATTGCCACCATTAATATTTTGTTTCTGTTGCAATTTTTCATCCTCTGCTTCTCCTGGTTCTGTATAAAAAGTACAATGTTACACATCAAGACATGCAGCTCAGAGTGGAATGATGACTTTTGGAAGCAGTACATCAAATTAGCAAAAATCTGTAGAAAATGTCTAGAGAAACTGGCAAGTAAATAAAAATACTTGTTTTTGAGCTCTGTATCATAACTAACAGTAGTTAAAATGGGTTTAAAGTTTGAAAGTGTCACAGCTAGTTGGACTTTACATGACTGCACTGACATTTTGTTATCTTTATGGTTTTTACACAACCATTTTGATTCTTAAAGATTTGATGACGACATGGTCAACTCAGAAGGTGATGATGTCACAGTTACTTAGAGCTGGGGTATCTCACTGAGCTGCAACTGTTAGAAGAATGGATTAAATAAAAAAAAACACTTAAAACTGTAAGAAATGATGTGAATGTTCTGTCGCTGTCTCACTGAACTCAGAGTGTTTGCAACCAGCTGACCATTCTGTAGCCGTGTTTCACTTTTATAGCAGCTTATATTTGTGTGCACGGCTTGTAAAGACGCCCAAGCAAAATTCACATGGGTTTTAGACGGGTGGGGATGCATTCAGTGACTTTGTGACTATTTCAAGAGAAAAGTCAACTCATAATTTTTTTTAACAACATCAAAACTTAAGCAAAGGAAAGAACTGCACCAGGGGTTGAACGACTACATATTTTTCAAAGTCGACTCCAACATGATTAAAGTTGAGTCGACTAGTCGATGTGACGTCGTTGGAACTCAAGACGCCATATCATATTCACAAAAAGTAATTTAGTATTTACAAATAAAAGAACAACAAAACATCCGGAGCATATATTTATGCTCCTACCATTTATCATACTGCAAATAAGTCACAGAAAAACCAAAACTATTATTAAGCTACAAAAGTTAGTTTTATTTAATTTAATATATATATTATATTTTATATATTATATTATATTATATTTTATAGGGGCGGCTGTGGCTGAGTGGTTAGAGCAGTCGTCCTCCAATGCGAGAGTTGGGGGTTCAAATCCACCGGCAGTCACATGCTGAAGTGTCCCTGGGCAAGACACTGAACCCCTCGTTGCCTCTGATGTGTGTCCCATCAGTGTATGAATGTGATAAAGCTCTGATTAGTCTCTTTAGAATGATTTGTTTAATTATTTTTGTAGAGATCTAGTAGAGTGCTGTATGAATGAGTAAATGAGGACACAGGTTGTTGTGTAAAGTGCTTTGAGTATCTTGAAATAAGATAGAAAGGAGCTATATAAGTACAGTCCATTTACCATTTACCATTTATTCCACTAAATAAAATAAACCACCGTGGCGCTGGTGGATTCTCCAATGGCGGTGGTACGCCCCCGTTTTTATTTTATTTAGTGGATTAAGTAAAATAAAAACAGGGGTGCGGTGATGAGCGCCGGACAGTGGCATGACATGTGACACAGTCACGTTACTGTGACTAGTCAACGCGAAATTAAAAAACCTTGTGAGATACCGTAGAATCGACTAGTCGACTCAACCCCTGCCCCTCTAATGCTCAAGTGAGTGGTAGCGTGGTCTCAAATGGTCTGAAGCAGGCTCTGAAGAAGCGATCATTGCCATCTTAGAAAGTTTCTTTTACACACGTGTAAAGTATAAAACCCACTGGAAACTGTGTAAGAAGCAAAGCATTACGGAGACTCCCTCATAAAAGCTTTTGACTAGTCAGTAAGATGTCATTCGAATTTAAAGCTCAGACTTTTTTTTGGTTCAAACAAGAAGGTCTAATCTAGTCATATTTTCTTCAATATCCACTGTAGACACATAAAACCTGACATTTATGATGACTAGACACTTCTGTCACCTTCAGGTTAGGAATGGTTTCAATAAAACTTGTAGTTTCCTCTCACTCACTATTTTTTAAGGATTACAATCTACTCTGCATTTCTGCCTATCTTTGTAAGAACTCTGTCAAGGAGTGACAGTAACAGGTGTGTGGTTACCATGGTGACCATAATGAGCATCACACTCTTTAAATTTCTTCAGGGAACTGTGGTTACCACAGACTTTTGTTGTAGCAACACTTTCAGTTTGTTTCCTGTTTGTTTGAGTGAATAACATAAAAAAGACAAAAAAGGATAAATGTACAACAGATTCACGTTGCACACAGACACACAGCGTAGCTGACTGTGTGGATCAGGAAGTTGTGATGTCTTTATCGCTGATAAACATCTGTGTCCCTGCGTCTCCTGCAGACTTTGTGGCATGTTTCTTTAGCCTGCAGTGCAGCTACATCACATGTTGTTGCTCTGAACAGCAGATTATTATAACGTATTCATGGAAAATGTCATATTTCTCTCTTGAATGGGGGAGCATATTTAAAAAAAGAACAGAATGTTGCCTGGTTAAGCTTTTGTGATTAAAGGGTTTTAGACTGAGCCACTCATGCATTGAACATGTTTTAATCAGCGTTGATTCAAACAAAAGAATCTATTTAAATCAGAAGAGAGCAAAATATGTGGACGAACAAGTGTTCTTCCAGGTCTGTGGTAAGAAAGAGCCTGAAGCCTCTTGATCATATGTGAGGTATAATAATAATAATAATAATGTCATCACAATGTCAGCACTGTATGTTTCCATACAATGGCGAAATTAGTCTCTGCATTTAACCCATCCACCACCAGGTGGTGCAGTGGGCAGCTATTGAAAGCGCCCGGGGGACATTTTTGGGAATTAGACGTGCTGCCCAGAGACGCCACGTGATGTGCAGTGACTGGGGATCGAACCTGGGATTCTCGGGTCCCAAGCCGGCTGCCCTGCCTCTACACCATCTCGGCCCCATGTATTCAGTTCTGTGTTGTGTCAGTGTCTCAGTGCTGGTATGAAGGAGTGAGCGCGACAGGAGGACCGCTGCTGCACTTATTAAACCTCAGGAGTAATGAACTGGACTTACTGGTGACATGCAGGGATCAACAGAGACACATGACAGCTCTCAGCAAGGAAAAATAAACTAAACCTACAAGAGCACAGAATGTCATGATTTCAGCTCCCTGCCTCCTCTGCTCTTTGCCACCTGCAAGTGCTCTTGGCCACGCCCACTTCTCCACCCTACATGGAAACCAGCTGATCAGCTGCATTAGGAATCTTATCCTGCAGTGTGGGTTGCACAAAAGTGGAGGAGGAAGCTTTTTCTGCAGCTCTGGGCTGCACAAAAGTGCAGCTGGTGCTAAATAATTTTAAATAATTTATTTTAAATAAAAATTCCATGCCAATCATGCAGCTCATCCATCAATCAGTCAGTTGTGTGTAATCCACCCATCCATCCATTTTCTTTACCCGCTTATTCCATTTTGGGTCACGGGGGTCGCCGGTGCCCATGTCCAGCAATCACTGTGCGAGGGGCGGGGTACACCCTGGACAGGTCTCCAGTCCATCACAGGGACACATAGAGACAAACGAGACAAACAACCATTCTCTCTCTCACTCACACCTAGGGACAATTTAGAGTTACCAATCAGCCTAACATGCATGTTTTTGGTCTGTGGGAGGAAACTGGAGCACCCGGAGAAAACCCACGCATGCACAGAGAGAACATGCAAACTCCACCCAGAAAGGCCCCTGGACCAGGGTTTGAACCAGGGACCTGCTCGCTGAGAGGCAGCAGCTCTACCAGTTGCACCACCGTGCTGCCCAGATGTGTGTAATGTCCAATCTTATTTTGAAAAACTGCTATAGAGCAAGTCTGCGCTAAACGAACTGCAAAGTAGTGAAGGACTACTGTATCTCATAAAATCCTGGATTTATTTTAATGAAGCTGCACATCTACACCTGATTAACATAAGGAGTTAACCCAATTCAAGATGGCCGCCGCAGCTACTTGACATTAGCCAACTTTAGTTTTAACACAGACACTTGTGATGGTCACTAAGTGTCATTGTAATAATATAATTTGAGCTCTAGATGTAACTGCACGCAATCATATTTATGAGGTTTGACCAAATCTTTTGACTATTTTAACAAAAAAATCATTTTAGTTTTAAACTGGCATGAAGGTGATGGGCGATCTGCATTCCTTCAAGGACTGCTAGGCCTTGATTATGATTTAAAGTTCATCGGAGGGTTAAATGTTTCAATAATGTAATCTTGAAAAACTAGTTCCTGGTATGTGTGTGTGGAGGTTAAGTAATTTATTGTTCAGTGACCTAAATAGGCACAAACAAAAGGTGTCAGGCATCAAACTGAAAAAGGTCCTATTAGTCACTGCTAATGTGAGAGAAATGAAAGAGCAAGAAGAGTAGAGGTCATAGAAACTATGGACCAGGAAGTGAGAGAGATTAGTGAGGGTGAAGTCCGAAAAGCTCTGAAAAGAATGAAGAAGGGGAAGGCAGTAGGACCTGAAGACCAGTGGAGGTTTGGAAATGTCTTGAAGAGATGGCAGTGAGGTTTTTAACTCAAATATTCAATGGCATATTTGAGGGTGAGAAAATTCCTGAGGAATGGAGAAGAAGTGTGCTGGTGTCCATTTTTAAGAACAAGGGTGATGTACAGAGTTGTAGCAATTACAGAAAAATCAAGTTGATGAGTCACACAATGAAGATCTGGGAGAGAGTCGTGGAAGCTACACTTAGATGAGAAGTGACTATTTGTGAGCAGCAGTTTGGTTTCATCTCAAGAAAGATCAGCACATGTGCCTTCTTTGCTTTGAGGATGATGATGGAGAAGTACAGAGAGGGTCAGAAAGAACTCCACTGTGTTTTTTGTGGATTTAGAAAAAGCACATGACAGAGTGCTGAGGGAGGAGGTGTGGCATTGTATGAGGAAATCTGGAGTGGCAGAAAAGTATGTTAGACTGGTACAGGACATTATGAGGACAGCAGGACATTATGAGGACAGCAGGACAGTGGTGAGATGTGCTGTAGGAGTGACAGATAGCTTCAAGGTGGAGGTGGGATTGCATCAAGGATCGACTCTGAGCCCCTTCTTGACTAACAGATGAGGTCAGGCAGGAATCAACATGGACTACAATGTTTGCAGATTACATTGTGATCTGTGGTGAGAACAGGGAACGGGTGGAAGAGAACTTGGAGAGGTGGAGGTATGCACTTGAAAGAAGAGGAATGAAAGTCAGACATAGTAAGACAGAGTCCATGTGTGAATGAGAGGGAGAAGGTGGAACAGTGAGGCTACAAGGAGCAGAGGTCACAAAGGTGCAGGACTTCAAGTACTTGGGGTCCACTGTCCAGGAAAATGGGGAGTGTGGTAAAGAGGTGAAGAAGAGAGTCCAGGCAGGATGGAGTGGATGGAGAAAAGTTTCAGGAGTGATTTGTGAGAAAAGGGTGTCAGCAAAGGTCAAAGGAAAAGTTTACAAGACAGTGGTGAGACCAGCTATGTTGTATGGTCTGGAGACAGAGACATGGACAAAAAGACAGGAGACAGAACTGGAAGTGGCAGAAATGAAGATGTTGAGGTTCTCCTTAGGAGTGACAAGAATGGATAAGATTAGGAATGAGATCATCAGAGGTACAGCACAGGTTGAACAACTGGGAGATAAAGTTAGAGACCAGACTGAGATAGTTTGGGCATGTCCAGAGAAGGGACAGTGGCTTGGACAGGTCCAGAGGAGGGACAGTGGGTATATTGGTAGAAGGACGTTAGAAATGCAGCTTCCAGAAACAAGACAAACAGAAGGCATATGGATGCAGTTAGAGAGGACATGAAGGTAGTTGGAGTGAGGACAGAGGATGCAGAGGACAGAGATGGAGGAGGATGACTTGTTGTGGAGACCCCTGAAGAGGGAAAAGATGAAAGAAGAAGTCACTGATAATGTAATGCAACAAAAGTTTGCAGGTAAATACAAAACAAGGATAAAGTCTGGAGACCTGCAGTTGTCTTTGGCTCGCTGATACTAAAAGACATCAAGTAAATTTAGAAGCGGTGGTTTCGGAGCCTGCTCCTTGTCTTCCTGCGACCTGAAAACAAAGACCTCCACTTTGTGCATTCTTCTCCACACCCCTCTGTAAACGGAGCGGTGGAGCTGCAGGGAAGGTGAACAATGAACAATACGCTATTAATAACCTGAGTTTAAGGAGAAAACTCTGAGCTTTGTTGCCTTCCTGTGTCCTGCTCTGAAGCTGCTTCGATGCTGTAGTTCTGGTTTGGAGCACATGTCGTCTGAGAGGCAGTGGAAACTAGCCAGGCTGTAGACCTCCATCTCAACTAAACCCTGAGCTGAGACAAAACACATGAACATGACCAGAACAACACACTTCAATTATGTTTAACACTCCAGCAGTAGACCAACTCTAACCCACATCATGGTACTAATGGTCTGATCTGCCTCACAACTCAGGAGTATTTTCACTTCATGCTTTCAATCTATTCAAAAAAATAACTCGTCACTCAGCTTCACATCATTCAGGTTAAAGTACCAGACGAATAAAAGAGTACTGACGGTAGAATTTTGAGAATGTGCCTAAAAAACATTGAAAATACTAAAAAGTTTCCACAGAAATTTTGAAGGCTACTGTTTAAAATTCCAACATCAACTTTGTAATTTTCTAAGAGATACTAAAAAAAAATACATTTGATGTATAAGAAGTGTAAAGAAATTCAAGATAAAAGATTTTTTTAAACTGCTGTCAGTGGCTGATTAGGGTCGCCATGGTAACCGCACACCTGTCACTCCCTGACAGCACAGCCTCAGACAGTCAGTGTGATAAAAGTAAAAGTTTTAAAATTATTTAATTGTGATCGACAGAAGAGGCTGACATTTATGAATGTGCATTTTCACATTTCAGTAGTGTTTTATGTAGATATTATAAGTTAATATAAATATTTACTTTCAGTTCTGAAGACAATATTTTGAGGTGAATATTGTTTTGAAGTCTGTGAAACGTGTGTGTGTGTTCTATGCATCCCGAGGAGGTTTGAGAGAAAACTACAAGTCATACAGCAGAGAGAAACATCTGGCTGACAGAGGTGGAAACGCTTGACGTATAATTTGTTTATGAACTAAAACAGGAAGAAGAGTTGGCAACAAATGTGGAGAGTACAGATGAAAAGTTAAGAGTGGGTGACATCATCATGAGTGATCTCAAATCATCTCCAAAAGCATCAAATTAAAACATATGAAGTTCTCTGATCCGTTTAAACCTTGAATAATGTTTCTAAAGTCCGTCTGAGCTGCGAGGTCTTCTCACCTGTTTGGACAAAATATTTTGCTAAGTAGAAATTTATTTCAGGTTTTGTTGTTTATTTTGTCCACAGTGTGAACTACACTGCTACCAAAGGTCAAAGGTCATGCTATGTTATTCCTCCTCAAGCTGCACTTTCTAATGCATAACTTTTATTTGATTATTTTAGTGTTTCAAAGCTGCACAGTGTGAAAACAGACAAAAAGAATGTTGTTTAATTTAATGTAAAACTGATAATAATGGGCTGCCAATGATCCCAGATTTCCTTGGACAAATGTTTATTGCAAATTATTATGCTTCTTAAGATTCATGTTTTTTCAGAAAAATAGAAAGTAACTAAAAATACTTGAACATTTTGAACAATCTGAGTTCAGATTAATAATCCACACTTTAAAATAAAGCGACATCCCCTCAGATTGAAGTCTATCTTACATGTTTTTTGTCTCAGACTCGCAGACTTGTTTCAGGACTTGTGACTCGCAGACTCAAAGACTCGGATGTTTGAGTCTCCAGGTCCTGAAATATCTCGAAGCAGATTCAGTTTGTGCAGCTTCAACTGAACCATCATCACCTGTTCGTTTCTTTTTTAAAGACTAAAGTTCACCGTGAGAACTGTTGAAAGGCAGCAGAGCCTACCCAGCTGATGCCCCGCACGGTCTGCGTGTGCACTGCGTGGCGGTGCGGGAACACTTGGTAGTTGTGGCTCCGGAACAGATGCATCTTGTCTCACATGAAAACAACCGACCAACAAGTTTCCCAGTCGGAGGATCTGCGCGCGTGCTCGGCATGTCCACGCAATGTTCCTACAGTTCTTCCTCCCCACGCCAAAGTGCGCATCGTGTCCGCACGAGCTCAACCGAGAGTCCACATCCACAAACCTCCACACCTCAGAGCTCTGAGTCTGAGAGGAAGCTGCTGCCAAGGAATGCTGCCTGCCCCGCGCGGCACAGGCGCACTGTGGAGCCGAGCTGCGTGCACGCGCGCGCACCAAGAACTAGATCAAAGGCAGAGCGAGAGAGAGAGAGAGAGAGTCAGAGAAGGAGGGAGAGAGAGACAGAGAGAGAGAGAGAGAGAGAGACAGAGAGTCAGAGAAGGAGGGAGAGAGAGACAGAGAGAGAGAGAGAGAGAGGAAGAGAGAGAGAGAGACAGAGAAGGAGGGAGAGAGAGACAGAGAGAGAGAGAGAGAGAGAGAGGAAGAGAGAGAGAGGGGAAGAGAGAGACAGAGAGAGAGAGAGAGACAGAGAGTCAGAGAAGGAGGGAGAGAGAGACAGAGAGAGAGGGAGGGAGAGAGAGAGAGAGGAGCCTTCCAGGCTCATTATCAGTGAAGAATTGATCCATGATGTATTTGAGTTGTAAATGTGTGCAGGTGTGTAATAAATAACCTTTATCTCAAAGTGACACCAGGGACAAGATAAAACTCACCTGGCACATGTTCCTTCAATGACTGCATGTCACCCGCTGCTTTCAGACAGTTTGATCGTCCACTGAATATTCACGAACGTTTAGATGAAAAATGTATGATCAGTCTCGTGTCATGACACATCACGCACAACCAAAAGACTCTCAGCTACTACCACAGATCTGGGACTGACTGATTTCATCTTTGTGCTTTCTACAATCACTCTGCTGTGGCAGCCATCTTGTCTTGGGCTGGCCCTGAAAGCTCAAGAGTTTTAGAGGGTCATTCAATGATTATTTCTAAAAGTTTGATTAAAGGTGGTCCAGTGGTTAATGAGATATTTTGCTAACAGACATCAACAAAGCTCGTGTGATGAAGCCTTCTGGATGGAAGGTGAAATGTTTCAGCACACAAAAAAAGAAACTGTCCGATGACCTGACTGAAAATTTTTGGATTGCTAACAGACAATTTACTCCAACTCCTTCATGTCATAATGTGTGTTTTCTGTTAATTATTTAGTTTCTTTTCATTCCCTCTGTGTTTGTTTTGAGATCTTTTGTGTGTTACTCGTCATCTGTTCAGTGTTTCTCTCCTGCTGCAGTCAGCAGGCTCCTCCCACTCTCACCTGCAGCCGTCAGGGTGATAATGATCCATTGTTAGGCTGATGGTCCTTCTTGATCATGTGATCAGCTGGTTTTGGTTGTCAGCAGCAAACTGGTTGATCCACTCTGAGAAGGTGCTATTTAAGAGACTGAGCTGAAAACAGCTCCTCAGACTGAAGAAGTCTTTCGGATGAAAGACGAAACATTTCTACAATTTTTTTGTTTGGTTCTCTGTACATTCAAAAAACAAAACAAGATTTAACTTTTTTAGATATCTCACTTTGACTGGCATCATATTCTGTTAACTGATGACGTGAACTCCGCTTGGAACTATTTCCATAATAATTTCATTTATTTCCTGAACTTACATGCTCCTTTTCGTCAGTTCAGAATAAAGGGACGAGACAGCCCCTGGTTTACTCCAGAGCTAGCTGACCTCCTGCACAGGAGAGATCATCTTTGGGCTGCAGCGAGAAAATCTGACTCAGACACTGATTGGTTGAGTTTTCGACAGATGAGGAATAAATGCACAACTGCTGTCAAAGCAGCAAAACACAACTATTTCTTATCTCAGACCTCCAAAAATCTAAATGACCCTAACAGATTCTGGAAAACCATCAAATCTCTCTCAGGCACCCCCCAATCATCTGACCTCCCATCACAACTTCTCGTTAACTCTGTTCCTTTGTCAAATAAGCACGAGATCCTGAACTGTTTCAACAAACATTTTGTTGCTTCTAGTTCTTTATTTGACACAGTTACTAACAAAAAATCAGCCACTTCACTTAATAACCAAACTTCTACAAATCAAATCCCTCCTACAAGTCAATCCTCAGTTAATCACACCTTCTCTTTTTCTCCATTCTCAGTCAGTGAGGTCAATAAACTGTTAAAAGACCTTGACCCTAAAAAATCTGCAGGTCCTGATGAACTTCCACCTTATTTCTTAAGGCTGGCTGCTCATATCATCACAGTCCCTGTGACCCACATCTTCAATCTCTCCATAAGACAAAACTCCATCCCAGACACTTAGAAAACAGCCTTTGTTCTTCCTTTGCTGAAGGGAGGAGACCCCACCTCACTGAACAACTATGGACCAATCTCTAAACTCTGCATTTTAGCCAAGGTTCTAGAAAAACTGATAAACTCTCAAATCAAAAATGACCTGGACTCATTTAACATCTTACCTCCACATCAATCTGGTTTCAGGAAACAACACAGCACAACCACTGCATCACTGAAGGTTCTTAATGATGTTGTTGAAGCACTGGATGCTAAGGATTATTGTGCTGCACTTTTCTTAGACCTGTCTAAAGCTTTTGACACTGTGGATCAGAACATCTTGTGTCATAAACTCTCAGAAATTGGTTTCTCAGATCACACCATTGGTTGGTTCTCTAACTATCTTTCAGACCGGAGGCAATGTGTTCAACAAAATGGTACTTCCTCCAGTTACTTAACAGTCAATAATGGTGTACCACAAGGCTCAGTCTTACGACCCACCTTCTTTACAATCTACATACATAATGTAGGTCAGAGCATCCTTGACGCATCCATACATTTCTATGCTGATGACACAGTTGTTTATTGTCAAGCTAAAACTGTTGCTAAGGCTTTCCAGCTTATGCAATCTGCATTTTACATCATCCAGTCAGATTTGTTCCATCTCAAACTTGTCCTAAATGCTGATAAAACCAAAGGGATGCTTTTTTCAAACAGGAAGTCGGTCCCAGCAGTTCTTCCTCCGATTTTGTCCTCAAATGGTGTACCCATTGAGTTTGTTGATTCCTATAAATATTTGGGTATCTTGGTCGACTCTCATCTCTCTTTTAAGCTCCATGTGGAAAACTTGGTAAAGAAACTGAAAGTGAAACTGGGTTTCTTTTTCAGAAACAGATCCTGTCTAACCCTGAATGCTAGGAAATGCCTTGTATCTGTGACTTTCCTTCCCTCCATTGATTACGGTGACATTATTTACATGAACGCTTCTACAAGAACCCTGCAGATGTTGGATGCTGCAGATGTTGGATGCTGTCTATCACGGTGCACTAAGATTCATAACTGGCTGTGATTATCGTACCCACCACTGCACCCTGTATTCACTGGTTAACTGGTCATCATTAACTTCACGCAGACTCTCCCACTGGTACTTTTCCATCTTTAAATAACTTCTTGGTCTGCTGCCTTCATACATCTCCTCCTACATGTCTCTGCGTGAGTGCAGCTACAGCGTGCGCTCTCAGAACATTATTATCTGCAGTGTTCCCTCAATGAGGACTGAACTTGGCAAAAGGGCCTTCTCCTACTCCGCTCCTGTTTCCTGGAATACCTTACAAAAAGATTTGAAGCTCTCGACCTTGACCTCTCTAAGTGGCTTTAAGAATCTGTTGGACTCCTGGCAGGGACCAATGCAGACATGTTCCTGTTTTTAGTTTTCTACATTTGCCTTAGAATCTAGCTGTTTTTGCTACTTTTTTTGGCCATCTTATTTTAATTTGTAAAAAATAAAAAAATAAAAACATCTGTATGCCTCTTTTATGATTGTCCATTGTTGTCATCATTCTTTGTTGAAATCAGGTCTCTCGTAAATGAGTCCTCCAGGCTCAATGGGATTAATCTGTCTAAATAAAGGTTGAATGAATAAAAATTAGGTATTAACGGTCGGGCATGCGCAGCTGACTAAACGGGGCAGAAGATTTGGAGCTGAGGGGGTGTTTGTCCTTTCATGGCCATACAAAAGCATTTAAACCTTGTTTCTGCCTGCATTCTTCTGCATTACTGACACACGCAGACAGCTCTGACACACGCGTCTGCTTTGGGATCTCACCTGTTTGGGTCATCGGCCGCGCGCGTCAGCTGAGTGCAGCAGCAGAACGAACGTCCATTTGGGTGATGGATCACTTCCTGGCAGTACAGGGTTCGGGTTAGAAATGACAGCTCTACTCCCCAGGTGTCATTGTGTCCCTTTAAATTCCTTGTCACCTTGTTTGCTCCCTGTCGGTGGATTGTGCTCCCCAGCCTTCATGCTGTGTTTCCTTCATGGTTGTTTAGTAAGTTTTGCGCCTCATCAGCTTTTGTTTTGAGTTCTTGTTAACAAATAAGTTCTCTTTATTTTTGCCCCCGAGTTGCTCCTAGTTTGTTTGCACCCTAACAGTTTATAGCTTGATATACAAACATTTTATACAAAGATCTTGTGAAAACTGTCAGCTCTCATAATATGTGCTGGGGATCAGTCTCAGCTACTACCACACCAGTTTTTTTGGTCAAAATCTAAAAAATAAACCGAGTGAGTCATTTTAATGTTTATTTTAAACTGAGCTGGCAGCATCAGCATGAATGGAGCCAACTCCAAAAGTTAATCAGGTGTAGATGTGGATCCAATGCTTGCTTCAAGTCAGTTCATGAGATATTTTGCTAACAGACCGATGTACAAACACAGATAGAGTCAGTGCTGCAGTAATGAGAGGTCTGGTCCAATAGGGATGTTCATGCAGCTTATTCTGGGACTGTGAGCCACTCCCGGACATCTTAAGTCAGAGGACTGAAGGGATGCACGGTGTTTCGCACGTGCACACACTGGAGTTTAGTTTGCACAGATCTGAAACAAGCTGCAGAACTCTGCGCACACACTTATCAGGCGGTCCAGCTGTTGAGCTGGGCCGGGCCTGCAGGAGCAGATAAACAGATCGTGAGCAGAACCGTGTCTCTCAGTAACGAGT